GAGTTCATTGGGGACGGATATGGAGGGACACGCCATTTGATTGGTGAACAACTATAGACGTTATAGACGACTAGCGGGATCCCAATATGATCCAAGATGTATTGTTTGATATTGTTTGTATTTGTTTGTCAGTGTTTATAGTTTTAAGCCTCACCGGGTTGAACAAGTCGTAAATCTATGCGGGTTGTTGTGAAAACGGTCGAATCATAGGGCTGTAGGAAGACTAAGGAAGACTCCGCGATTTAGAGCGAAATGTAGGAGTATTATCAATTAGAGTCAATTCCTTTTGCAGACTCTTAAATTCATTTGAATTCTACATTTCTTTGGAGGTTTGTGGATTGGTTTTGAGTGAAATACCCTCAGCAAGACCTACAACTTGAACAAGGCCTGACCAGTTTCTGCAGGAACTGCGCCAGGCCCAGCGGAGTGCCGAGCACGCACAGCAGAAGCGGCAGCAGCTGCTGGCGCAGCTGGAGGAGCTGATTGGGGTTTTGGGTGAAAGAAACAGGGGGATTGGCGTGAAGGTGTTGAGAACAGCAACCAGATCGGAACACTTTGATCGGCTTACCTCCAAATGATATGTCAAGCCACAGCTGTTTGAGGAGGTCGGATTGGCGAGCCCAATGAAATTAATCGACGAGGTTGCTTGGTTCTTGCACAGGAGCTGGTGCAGAACAGCAGCCCAGTCTTGCGGGAATTTCCTCAAGCAGGCCCGAGTGGCCGGCACGTGCTCTTATTTCTTTAGTGCTTTGGGTTCATCTAAGCAAGGCTTTTTCAAGGACATTGCAAGCAATCTATGCATCAAGCCAGGCTCTTCATCACCTGCCAAAACACGTGTCCGTTTGCTGCTTTGGCCACGACGCACCAGGCCCGGGTCGTTGGTTGCCATCCCCCGCCCTGACGCTGGATGGAGTGGCCAGCGCTCCCGACGAATTGGACGAAATCGAGGCAGCACAGGAGCTCCACCTGTCGCTGCCCAGCAGCCCCAGCCATGCCTGGAGTGGTGCCTCCGCCAGTGAGGTGGTCCCACCGGGCGAGGGCGAGTGTTTGCAGCGGAACCGGTGGTCTGAGGCAGAAGGGGTGGTTCGAGGCGGAAGGGGAATGGGTGGCCGACGAACAAGATGCACTAAACCTGCAGGTCAGAGATATTTTCTGCGAGTATTACTGTATATTTTAGAGGTAGGAATCCGAACTTCAACCACATCTATTTTGGAGTCCGTTTATAGAGTTCAGAGTCCCGCATCGTCGTTATAGAGTTGTTACGCTGATGACGAGCGTCTCTCAACACTGCTTTGTGATGCAAGAGTCACAGTCTCACAGGTTGCTCATGGAAGCAGGCAATTTGCCATGTCCATCCACCCCTTCATGATGTGTTCCTTCGTTCTTAACGCCAACAAAACAAGATGATGACGCAAAAAAGGAGCTCACGCACATTCCTAAAAGGATGTCCTTGATCAGTCTGACGAGACTTCTGACTCTGAGGATGCTTTTGCTGCACAAAATGCCCAGAATTTGCTTGCAGTGAACAGCTTGCAGGAGAGTCCTCGGCCTTGGGCAGTTTCCACTGCTTCCGCTCCGCGTGTTCTCCCGGGCAGCCACGTGGCGTGTTCTCCCGTTGCGGGCAAGGACTTGGAAGATCCTTGTCGTGAACCAAGGAACGAAGAGCATCTTACTAGTAGCTTCTTGTTACGTTCGTAGCCAAAAGGAACCTAATGGGAATGTCCTCCACTCTAATAGCGATGGCCTCCACCGTGCGTAGCTTCTTGTGGCCTGCAATCGCATGGTCGCTTCGGGCTTCGTTATCTCCCCCTTCTCTACGCCTTTTTCGGGGACGGTTCGACGCGAAAACTCGCGACGTCAGCATGTGAGCCTGGCAAGGAACCTGACATACGACTATATATCCCCTTGTTAGCGTTGAAGGACATGCTAGTGGACATCCTGTGCCCAAGCTCCAACACTCCCAATGACTCCCAAGACTAAGCATGACTGTGTTTGGACATCTTGTATTCCTTGGAGGTCGATGTCATCGTGTTTGTAGCTCCGGTACATCCACATAGAGAAGCCAACTGGCGTGGTATGGCCATGGTTTTGCCAGAAACACCTGTAAAGATGTTCACAATATCATGTGAAGTACACAAGTTACACAAGGAAAAGTATCGCGGGCTGCATGTCAAAAGACGTTGATCGTGCTGATTTAAAGGAGACCAAGTGTGCGGACCTCCATGGTTTGGAGATCCCTAAATGCACCCCAAACCATTCACTCCGCCGTCCATTCATCCCAGGAAGAGGTCCTTCAGCTTTGCCGGTCCTTGGGTAGTCGCTGAGGCACTCGGACGGAAGCCATGTGAGAGACATTTGAAATCAATCAAGGAAGATATGTGCGATGATCCTTCTTCATCACCTTTCAACATGAATCCTATCAAGGACGGGGACAGCTAGGTGATGTAGCTTCCAATGTGGTGCACTCACATGGCGAGCTTGGCTACTGGGCCGCCCCGGCTCTTGAAGAGACCTTTGGGGCGTGCCACAGAAGCTATCACAGCTCTAGCGGTCGCAGGTTCCTGGTCTTACTCGAAGTTGGTCGGACGAACTTTGCCCCAAAGGAGACCACTCCATCTTGGACCATGTTTGGTTTTTTCCGACGGTGCACGTGTACTACCCGACATGATTAGATTTCGCCACAGAACTCACAACTGACAAAAACACAGGGTGTTTGGTCCTATCATAGACCAAGTTTTGAAGGAGGATTCTTCAGTCAGTCATAGTCATGCTAGATGAACTTGGAAAGCCTCCCAACCTAGGTTTAGATAAGACAGGAAGGTCATGTCAGCAACTTATGTGAATGTGAATGAAGATCATGCCTCCATTGCCGTGCATTGGGTGCAATCCATCAGATGATCAACCAGTTTGTCAATGAACCTGCTTACTAAAGAGGCTCTGAGTGGCCAGAAATCTGAACTGCTTTGCTTGTATAGTATCCATAGCCGCGTTGGAGTTCAGGCAGGAGAAAAGAACTGGAACTCAGAGGTGCTCCGTATAGGGGCCATCATATCCCATTGCTTCGGCTTCGACCGATGGAAGTGATCTCGACGTCTTGATGGATGTTCAGCCGACAAGCAAATTCTTCGTCTATAGGGCCTGTCTACCCGTTCGAAGTCGGAGCACCATTTTGTACGTGGACTTGAAACACTTTACCGAACAACCGTTGTTTGATTTTACACGAGAAGCACCAGATCAATCATGTTAAAACTGTTTGAACGGACTTCCAGGGTGGCCAACTTATGTTGTTCTATGTTGTTCTATGTTCCATGTCGATCATCCTGAGGCGATCGATCAAGGGTTTTTGAGAAGCATCCAAGCACTTGACCGTCCGAATGTTCCTCTTGCAGCGGAAGCTGCCCAAAGCAGCTCGGGCTTTCCTCCTGCGCACGATGTCAACAGATCATTTTGGGGCGATTGGAGCTGCGTGAAGCTTCTGGCATGTGCAAGAAACGACTTTGAGTTTGCTAGTCAGGATGTGTCCCACCTTGCGTTCAAATTTAATTGGGATTTAAGCTTCGGAATGAAGATCGTGAATCCCCGCCTCATCTTTTCCTCACCATACTCCAGAGCCACTGGTGGGGATTACAATGGTTACCAGATCTCATGTTCACGGGGCACGGTTTCAACATGTTTCAACATGGTTCATGCGCAAAGATTCAGATGAACAAAGACAAGCAGAACGAATCAGGAGCAAGAAGCTACAACGGGTGGAGGCCATCGCTAGTAGGTTGGAGGCCATGACTACTAGGAGCAAGAAGCTAGTAGGTTGCAACACAATTCCTTTGAATCGCCTCCAATCGCCTCACCACCCGGCGACCCGTTCAACCGCTGGACCTCGCCGCGTCAGAAAAGGGGGTGTGAGTGGTTGTTGCCCAGTGTGACCGTATGTCCAAACGGAGGTTCATGAACACTCGTAGGTCAAATACGTCAGGGTGTTCAGTACTGTAAATATAGTTACTGTGTGTTGGCCCAAGCACTATAGACTATGCACGAATGGGAAGGTTCCTTACCATTCATTTTGGTTTTCTATTTTTGCTACGATCTGATCCAGGAATCCAGGAGGTGAATGTTTTAAACAATCTCAACTGTTCCTGTTAAAATCGAATGATGGAAGCCTCAGAATTTCTGAAAAATCTCGAAATCCAAAGATACCTGACCACCTGGCAGAAGGTGCAGTAGACATAATTTTGAAATCTATTATATATACCTGAAGCATCCTTTGTAAGACTTATTTCTGGCGAACCATGGTTTGGAGCACTTGTTGGAAGTTTGAGCGTTAATTGAGGGTACTGTATGTACACTTTTCAGGGCATATGAGCGCTTTTTGGTGTTGTAAATTCTAAAGCCTACTGGTTCCTGACCAGTGTCCTTATCAACCCTTGCGGGTTTTTGGGGGCCCTATGGACCGGGTGGAAATCCTATATGACCTCTCCTAGTATGTGCAAATGAAACCACAAAGGTTTGGTTCTAACCTTCTGGGCGTGCCTTACAACAATTTGTCCAAAAAGGGTGCCCGCAACTTGGGCGCAAATTCCCGCACCCCGGGCGCAATTTTAACAAGTGGCGGATGGTTTGTTTACCTTTAAATCTGAAGATCAAAGACAGGGGTTGCTGGCTGCCGCTTCGTAGTGTGTGAGCGTGTGTTGTGTGTGCATGGGATGGGTGCCAGCATGTGGCAGGGGAATGGACTTGAAGACCACATAAGGTGGAATGAAGCTACATCTGACTTTCCAGAGGTACGCTTTTTCAAGGCATGAACGCTTTTTTTGATGATGTACATTTTTTCTGTCACTTTTTTCTGCTACGACGGAGGGTTCAGGTATATATATATATTGATGGCCAAAATTTGGTGGAGAAGATTCCAATACACACCGAACATGTGTGGTTGATGGTTAGTGTTCCAGTTCTATTTTCGGGTCACCACTGCTCTCCAGCCGTCCAGCTGACAGTATCACCAGGCCATTGACTGCCCCGAGAAGCACTTGTTGGGGAAGGTCGGGGAGTGGCCTTGAGGGTCGTGCCGGGGCAGGTTCAATGCAAAGAAAAATGACTGGTCCGTGTGTGGTACTTTTGATGGGACAGATGCGTGGTGCCCCTACCACTGCAGTCCTGTACGACGCAAGGAGTTTCAGATATGCCACAAGGACCCTCGGAACATCACCAAGTACCATGGTGGAGGCCATCGCTAGTAGGTTGGAGGCCATTGCTATCTACAAAGTCACCAAGGTACCAAGGCATGGCGGAGTGGGGAACGGGGAACGCTGACATACTGAATGTCTATTGGTCGAAGGAAGACAATGGTCTGGAGCTGGGCATCAGATCGGTGAAGTGTGGGGAGGACGGGGGGCAGCACAGCCGGCTGTTTGGGGGCACAGCCAGTGTTCAGCTGCAGAAGCAAAGAAGCGACTAGTGAAGATGCAGAAGCGACTCGTGAATGGGGGCCATCAGTTCACAATTTGGTGATTCGGATGGAGAAGAGGATGTTCCCATTCTTTGTGAAGAGTTCCCCGGGGTTATGGACTTCCAATGACTTCCACCCATCCTCCCTCAGGCCCAGCTGATGAGTGAAAGCCCTTGAGGCCACGACAGTGGGGACAGGTTGGACACCAGACACGGTGGGGCTGTGAGCGGGTGAAAAAATGATTTAGCTTTGTCACTACAGGGAATATCTAGAAAATGGACATTGACACAAAGAATGAAGATGAACCAAGTGTACAGAAGATAACAAAGGAATGGACGGAATGACGCTGTGGTTAAAGCGCAGAAGTTCCACCCGGGCCATGAATTATGGTCCTTGGCTGCAGACAACCCACACCCAACGGACTTTTCCAACCGTCATGTGAACAAAACACTCAGAGACTATTCATTTGCCTCTTTTTTTTGAATCTTTAGGTGGGACAAGGGATACCAAAGCAGGTACATCCAGACTACATACTTACTGTGCTCAATCTTACTAGCACTCCAAAGCAGGTTGAAGAGGCAGTTTCTTCTCATCAGAGAGTTTGTATGTTCTGTGGGATGTCCAGTGCTTGCAGGTTATGTTTTTTGCATGATGTTTATCTCTATTGTCTTTGAACTGTGCATCTCTCCAAGTCTCCACTGCCGTAACTTGCTGGTGAGAAACAGTACAGTACAAACTCCACTTTGCTGTATGCCGAACATCTAGTTCCCTGAAATGTGGAGCGGATTCCTGCAGGTTCCCTGGTTCCCTGGGACCTTTTGCCACCGTTTGTGGGCATGGCCACCTGATTTCTTCCTGGCCCTCCGGTTCGGTCTGGTCGGATCGGACCGACCGGACGGACGCCGCGGACCGACCGGACGAGGGTGAGCCACTGCCACCGTTCGTTTCGGATTGGATTTGAGATGATTCTCCCGGCCTCTTGGTGCCAACTTCGCTGACAGGAGCTCGCAGATGCTTCTGCTCACATCGAGCGCACCTCAGAGTCGAATCGGGGGAATCGGCCGTTGGTAAGTCGACCTGAGAATCTGGTTTGTAAGATTCTTGGAAAGCTTCGCCAGAGTCGCCCGAAGCAGCTTGGACCTTGGACAGGGATTGAAACGATCTTGATTGACATATTTTGTGTTCAAGCAAGGTAGGAAGTCTTTGGCTTCCAGGTTACTAAACAATACTAAACAGTTTATTCACATCTTTTGGACAGAACATGGACACATGTGTCTTCCTGTTGTGTAATGTTGCAACATGTTGCAACCATGGAGGCCATGGCTTCGAATGAAGGGAGAAATTCATGAAACTCGTGGAAGGGACCAGACAGACCACCTGCAAGTGGTGGTAGGTAGTGTGGTAGGTTTTTCTTCAGTGTGAAGGTCGCGGTGATTTGGCTCAGATTGGAAGAAGGTCCGAGGATTTATGTACGCAATGAACATCTCATCCAGCCGAAATGTCCACAATATTGTGCCATATAGATGGCTATATAGTTATAATAATTATAGTTGTACGGTGTACGTCAGGTGCTGATGTGTCTTGTGTCAGGTGTCGAGCTTGCTGAAGAAAACCTGTATATAATATATATATAGAGAGAGAAAGTTTCTTCAGCAGAATTTAGCAAGGCAGGAAGACGTATTCATCCAACTCTCCGCCCCAGTGGCTGCCAGCCTCATTCGCACTTTTTAGGCATCCGGCAGGCCATGGTCGGTGACGCGGCGGGAGTGATCCTGATCCAAATGCAATACCTCCATACACCACGATTGTGGCTGGGTAGCTGGTAGCTGGGTTCAAAGCCCTTCAACTCAACTTGTAGCATTTTGTAGCGACGTTGTAGTGCTTCACAGCTTAGTCGTTTGGGGTATCAATTAAGAAAGGTGTGAAGTGATCAACACTGACTCCATGATGGCAAACATCAGGAAACACTGTCATACTCGTAATGGGTGAAAGACCTCGCCTGATGCACGCATTCTATTTTGGGGTGGGACATTCAAGTTCCTGTTTGGAATTGTCAGTTGAGACTTACTCCCAAAGCACCCAAATCCCACCCTCAAACTCCCTCAACACCTTAAGAGCACACTTGGGAGCAATTGTCATCAAACAAAATAGACAACTATGTGTCCTTTTTGATCCTTTTTGCACCTGAAGTCACCACGAAAAGCCTGGAGGCCGTCGTCCCCATGCGCCGCTTGGGCGCTGCGCTGCTTCGAACCTCCCGCGGCTTCTCCACCCGGGCGGCGGTGAAGGCGGGTGAGATGGTCCGCACGTCCGGTGGTCACCGGTCACCACTTGAGGACGTCCGGTGTCAGGACATGGCTTCAGATGGTTCAGGGATGTTCAGGGCTTCTTCCAACCACCGACAGAACCGTTCCGTCGCTCCTGACACGAACCTTTTGGTTCGATTGGGTTGTGCAGCGTGTGCGGTGGCCATTTCGGGCCCGGATGGCGTTGGTGAGGGGTTTTTGGGGGCGCAAATCAAAGAAATCTGGATCGTCCGTGATCACTCGCGGGGATGTGGGACGACCTATAGAGTAAGGCGACTGCTAAGCAGGAGTGGTCCCGCGCACGCAGGAGACTGAGGCAGATTGGATTTTGGGGCATGTTATTTGCCTTGCACGGGTTCATGGTGGGGATGTTCAGAATCTTCTCACGACATCTCCCATTGAAATGAGCAGCGGGCCACATTTCTCATCTTCTATCATGTCTAAATACTTTGACTGATCAACAAAAATTAAAAGAGAAATGGAGGATGACTAAAGCAGCATCACCAGCATCATTGTTGTTTGTGATGAACAAGCTCTGAACCAGCCAACTCCCGGTTCATGCTTCAATTGTGTCCATCCAGGAAAATCTAGAAATGCAAAGGGTTAAAGGAGCATCGCAGCATCACTAGCACCGTTGCCTTTAAAGGGAAGCGTCCAGAAGTTGTTTCTTTAAGCTGTGCGAGGGACTTTTGAAGAAACGCGGCTTTCAGCATTATGCAGTGCAACCGGTTTCCTTGTTCGTGTTTGTGATGTGACGAACTGTGATTTGCGATGTGGTGAAGCAGCTGAGCAGCACCTTTTGACCATGTGACCATGCACTGTTTTCGCAGCCAGCAGCCAGCTGCCCGTTTTACATCATACACAAGGTAGGATGATTCTATAATATACCTAGTCCGTAGTTGATCCTTTTCTCTCTGAGTTTCTTCATACACACCTCGACACTTGGATTAATGCAGACATCCCCTGCCCGACTGACCAAGAAGAGACTCTCGTGAGTTCTATGAGTTTCTATGAGTTTCTCGTGTTCTTCTTTGAACTTATCTGAAAAACAAAAAAACACTCACCAAGTGAGTGAGTCGCCAAAAAAGTCCCCAGTCGACTCCGTCCAACTCCCGCTTTGGTTTGGTCGACATTTCGTAGGCGGTGACCTGCGTGGATGGCCAGCCGCAGTCGGTGGCCGCGGCACAGATCTTGTCGCGGATGTTGAAGGCTGGAGATGAGGACGCTCAGCGCAGAGAGGGTCTACGGTGAGAGTGAAGACTTCCCAGAGAGAGGCCGTATAATGCCCACATACGAAGAGGTTGAGATATGTTTTGAGGTATGTTTAGAGGTTAGAGGTTGAGTCGTTCCACAAATCCACGGTGTATGTGTATGCAAAGTGCTTGAGACTTCTCTGAGATTGTGCTGGTTAGCTTGTTCCAATTACAGAAATGTTCTCTACTGGATCCCTATGGCAAGATACAGATACTTCACTTTACACTTGGATTTGCTGCTTCCAGTGGCTGGGTGAAGGTGCCACTCTTTCAACTGCTGTATTGTCTAATCACTTTCCACTTGAAGTCGTGACATGTAGCAGCTAATGTAGCATGACCAACCGGCCCCCATGTGCTTTCCTTCTTGTTCAAGGTCGATTCTAGGCCCAGGTGATGAAAGACCAAAGAAGCCCCTTTTCTTTGGGTCTCATCTCCAGCCTGATCGAAGTGAACCCTTTTTTTTTCAGAAAACGACGTTATGCGGGTGTGGTTTTTACGCGTTTTTGTGATTTGTGGTTTCTGTGTTTTTTTTTGAAAATGTTAGTTGTTTTGAAGAACGTGTCTAGCAAAAATGTCGACTTGTAATCTATCAAATTTCTCATCAATCTGATTCAAACATACTAGTTCTCATTGATTCCCACACAGAAGTCCATCAAGCATCATCTATCAGCAAGTCCACCACATCCCATCATACAACATCAGGACATCACCTCTATGAGGGAGATCTGGTCTCCAAGACCTCCAATCTCAATCAGTCCTCAATCTCCAGCAACTGGGGCCTGGGCCTAGGCTTCTCTAGGGGGGTGGGGGGCGCCAAAAAAAAAAAACCATGGTTGTCCAATTCCAGGAGCATTTTTTTTTTGGCCCCCCCCCCCCCCCGGAGAAGCCCAGGCCCAGGCCCCACTTGCTGGAGATCGAGGACTCATTGTCAATTCCACGAGCTGGAAGTGGCCCAGGTGCTAGAGATAGTCAAGATTATTGATTTCATTATAGCTACCTGTGTAGGAGTAGCAATTCCACCACAACTTCTTATATTCCCCTCGTCTGTTTGAAGACACAACTGTCTGCTCCTGCAAGCACTTGTATATACTGTAGGCTCTACGTGGTGAGGGTGGATACCTATACTGTATGGTCTCAATGATGGAGTGTGGAAGATTGTCTTGATTTGATGGCTTAAGATATCCAATGAAAGAGAGAGATGGGCATATAGTATAGAGAGCATAGGAAAATGGAACTTCCAATGTGGATGAAATGAGATGAGATGAGATGAGATGAAATGAGATGAGATGAAGCATTGGGTGCATCAAACAGCTGGCATTGGGCTTGTAGCTGCATGCGTGCAATTCCATTTGAGACCAAAGGCGGTTGCGTGGATGCAACACCTGGGCACGAGAGATTGGGATCCTGACTTTGAGCAAATTGTTTTGCCATACAAGCCATTGAGCAAATGCTCTAGACAGCAGCACAATATGGATGGTGCCTCGATTGGGTTTGATTGTCCTCCAAGAACACATGGGCACCATGTGAGAGGGAAACTTGCTGGGCAACCAATGATGGGGATGGGGTCCATGGAATGCTTGGTGCAAATGGGTTTGTGCATGATTAGGTGGCCCAATGGAAGATCAGAACCATTTGGGTACAACATTGGTTGCTCCTTATGATTCATGCTATTGGTAGTGCAATTTTTTTGCACAATCTATTGGTTTACTTTTGGGTGGGTGTTGGTGAGGTCCAATGAGGTTTTGAGCTTGGGTGGCATCGCGAGAATGTCCTTGGCAATGTTGGGTGAATATTAGGAGCATGCTGAGCATGCCAGGTTTGGTACAACCTGACTTCATGTATATCTATGTGTGGGCAAGAAGGTTAGGGTGAAGAGAAGGTAGCCTTGGGAATGAGTAGTGGCCACACAGCCAATTCAGACCCTCAGTGTATCTAAGGCTGGATCATTCCATGGGCTTCATAAGATTCTTTGGAAGATTTCGTCATAGATGGGGGGATATGGAGCATAGATCTGAAGAGCCATTGGGTGAGAGCAGTGGAGATGAGCAGGATTGGTCCAATCGAACTTGTGTGTGGGATAAGATGTGAGCTCCCAAGTGACCCTGAGAATGAGGATGAGGCTTATTATGGGTATGGACGTCAAGAAGGCCATGCAAAACCCAATTCCAATCAGTGATCCAGGTCCAGTACTACTAAGCAAGTTTCTCAACTTTTGTTGGGCGTGGTGGGCACATTGTGTTTCAAGATAATGATCTTCTCTCCATTTCATAAAGAATGTGGAGGGAGAAGCCCATTTCATAAAGAATGTGGAGGGAGAAGCCCAAAAAGTGCTACCTTTGAAACAATGAGAATGCTTATGGGCAAGGAAGGGTAGAGTTGGATCCAGAGGTTTTTTAAACAAGAAAAGTTGGTTTTGTTTAGGAAACAGGAGCACAAGAACATATCTAGACTATAACCATGGAAACTCTGACTAAACATGACAAAATCTAAGAAAAACACCACAAAAGCACGCGTAAAAAACCACACCCGCATAACGTCGAGCTCTCTTTTTTTCTGCGGCGGCCCAAGGTCATTGTAGCTCGGCCTGAGAGGTTGCGGATGCAGGTGGTCGTTGGAGGTGTTTGGAGGTCTGACAACATCCAACGACGAGGGAGATGAAGTGTGCACTTCTTTGGTTCTATGATCACATGACGTTCTATGCCTCTCCCAACCATGATGCTTTTGGGGTGTTGGACTGTATTACTGTATTTGATTGTATTTGTAGACGGGGAGTTTTCGGAAGGGTGCAGGGTGGTACAACTCTATGTGTCAGCTAGTGCGACAGCCAGACAAGGCCAGGATGGTTTTGGGGCCAGTGCCTGCATACAACAAATGCAGAGTGAAAAAAGGAGATGCTCCGGTGAGGACTCACCAAATGAGTATGTTTGATTCATGGGTGCACAAAGTTGCAATGTTCATTGGCGGAAGGTCTCAATGTCACTTTCGCAGAAAGACCACATGAACCAGATGACAAACTCAATCTTGAATCCCAATCACTTACCTAGAAGAGAAGCAGGAAGCAGTGTTTTAGTGATTTTGAATGGATATTGTTTTCACATGTTTCTTTTCCCTCGCTTCACACAGGCTCAGCAGGGTTGCGTCATTGGTTTTCAGCTCATTCCTCTTTTGACTCAGCGGGGACGGATCTTGCGACCTCATTGGCACCGCTCGCGACCGAGGTTTATCGCGCCACCAAAGTGGCAGAGGCATCGTTGGGTCGACCACTCTAGGTTGGTGAGTGAAGAAACAGCAAAGAGCCAAGAGATGCAAAGAGTTAAGTTGTCCTTGGACAGTTTTCTTGATTTGTTTGATTGGTTCGATGAGTACAGTATACTGTGTAAAATGGTAAACATCTGAAGCTACACGTGTCTCCCCTTTTCGGACGGACTCAGCGTGAGTCCGTGCTCTTCCAACCGTAACCGAGCGTAAGTCCGGAGCTCATCACGTGTTTCAACGGGCGCCGTTGCGGCCGTTGGCGCTTGAGGCGGTCGAGGCGGTGAAGGATGCAGAGGCTGCGGCCTTGCAAAGCGTGGAAGACGTCGCAAAGGCCACGGGGGTCGGTGGGGTAGGTGGAAGACGTCCGTCCGTCGGGCGTTTCTGGCAAGTGCCTCATATATGTTTAGGGTTTGGACAACAAGCTCACTAGCAGTCACTAGCATAATATGCCTCAGCAACCTCCCTTTTTTGGGAGGACATGTCTATATATAGGATTTCCAACTTGCCACTTCCGGAGCAGGAACCTGGTCAGCATGGCTTTAGGGGAATGGGATTGCATGCCACTTCATATGGCAGGGGTAAGAAACATCACAGACTGACATGCCAGGCCCTGCCAGGCATGCGCTGCAAATGCGTTGGTCGTTCGAATCACCTCGGATCGGCGAACAGGTCGTACTCGATCGAACTCGAGACCGACGGCGACGGCTCGTGTCGTACTCGAGTCGTTGGAAACACTGGAGGTCGTGCGCGATCGGAGTGGCCTAGGAGACCACGTGAAGACACAGGCGATCGGGGTGATGCGTGATGATGCATGAGAGTTTGGTCGAAGGTCATGCCTGGCAGAGATAGAGCGATGTTCTGGCTGATTGGGATTTGTTATGATTTGTTGGATTTGCCTGACCTCTCAATCTAGAGTCTAGAGATGGAACTAAGCAGGTCTCCGCGTGACGGTTCACCTTTTTCCAGGTGGCCAGTGTGCTGTCCACGGGTGCCGCAGTGACCAAGTTCGTGGGCGATGTCAAAGCGACGCCTGGTCGCCCTTGGGGTGGTGCTCGGGGTCCGGAGACCGTCCACAGCGGTCGTCGGCGGTTCGTGGCGGTTCAAGGAATGTCGTGGCCTTGGGCTCGCATGGTCCTGGCCGTGTGCTTCACAAATCCTTGGCCAGCTATTTGATGCAAAGCCGCTGGGCGATTCGGATGTCAGTCCTGGAGATTTCATGTGGAACGAGACATCGGGAGACATTTGCAGTGTCCGGGTACCCGACTTTCTCAGAATCACTCTATAGGATTCCTATACCTTTCAAACAGATCGCTGTCTCAGTCAGTTTGTTTCACTTTGAGTTGCTGATGCACAGTTGTTTTCACAAGCATGTGAGAGAACTGTTGACGATTTTTGGGCCTTTTGTTTCATTCAATTCCTTTTCTCATGTGGCCGCCAGAAACCATCAGGCACCAGAGGCATTTTTAGTTGTTTGTTTTCCATAGCACTGCCTGCTGGGCTCCTTAGGGCCATACCCTTGGAGTGACCTGCTAGGCCCGGCCCATAGGGCCGCATTAGTGGCCGCATTTTTTGGTTTGTGAGGCTATGCTGACACGCGCATCTTGGTTTGCCCGCTGAAAGAATGGCAACCGACGCAGCCGAAAGGGCTGAAGTACACTGTGGTCTTTGATGGATGCCAGACCAGCCGCAATGCATTGGAGGTCCTTTCCAGCTTCACCACTGAGGAGGACACCTCTGGGTCGGAGTCCGAAACAGCGATGTGAAGACGAAGAGATCAGAGCGAGGGCCGCCGTCTTTAGGACGGATGAATGAGCCAGGGCGGGAAATCTGCTACCATCAAGCACCGTGTATCTCCAAGAGAGGGGCTAAAACCAGCTAGAATCTGAATTTGTTGAATGTTGGTAGATGAAGCGGATGAAGGACCACCCAAATTCGTGATCTTGTGCGACAGCAGATGCCAACAAGCGGGTGCACGCTAAACTAACCTCTCTTGAACAGATTCACACAAGTTGGGGTGAGCTGCATGGAGTTGGACCATGGAGGCAGTCACCAAACCTCACTGGTTCGTTTTTTGTTTGAAACAGACCGAGTGGTTACTGACTTAACGACTGACCCATGGCTGAATCCTCGATCATCCAGTCACATCTGAATGCGATGCCCTTTGTTACTAGTAGCGTCCTTTTGTTACTAGTCAGTAAGGCCAGGAGCGCCCCTAGTAGCGTCCTTGCTCCTAGTAGCGATGCCCTTTGCTACTAGTAGCTTCATTAACCTCGGCTCGCAAAAGGACACAGTGGAGATTCTACATGCCCATGTGGTGCCGCAGCCGGTGTCCCGGGGTAAGTTCCGCGCCACGGTGCAAGCACCCTCCGAGGAGGTCCGGTCCGTTTTTCTTGGTCGGTCGTTTTCGGTGTTGGGGTAGATAGATGGAGCAATGAACTGGAGTTCAATGGAGGATTTCATGGGCCAGTAAACCACCTCACGAGGATTTGATGGAACAAAGCAACCACCTCACCTCCCTAATTAAGAACCTTTGTTGGTGGAAGCATAACGAAACTGGAGGCTAAGGGGCTTGGCTGATCACCCAAGGCGAGCTTTGGACGGTTCCATTGAAATAGTATGTAACATGTATGAAATAGTTATTTTGAGAGTTGGAGAGGACCTGACCTAATCCATCCTAATCCGCACACGAAGCACTGATCGAGATTTGCGGATGATCTTTACTCGTCATCTTCCACTCGGGCCTGTTTCAATTGTTACCACAACGGCTGAGACGAAGGGACTGAGCCTGTTTTCACAGCACCCCAGCGGTTCAACTTTGCACTCTTCACTTTTGAGTAATGTCAACCTGGACTGATTATAGTGAGTAGCACATCCCCGTGTTTTAGGGCTGGTAGATAAACAGGTCGTGAACATCAAAAAGGATGGAGTCACTGCTGTCTTCGTATCCAAACTGTCTAACTATTGAATAACTATTGAGTAGTAGTGACTATTGCCATTTGCTCGTCATTGATAGACACATCTAGGCACACCACCCCCGTGCCCACATTCCATGCCTTTAGCATCTTCATGTTTGGCACAGAACAAACATCTGGCTTTAAGAGCTTGAAGCCGTCAACCGCAGGAGTTGCAGAAGGCCCTGGCAGATTCCAATGCGCTCTTCGATGAGGCGGCCTCCATCCTCAGAGGACGGGGGGAAACGACCCAGGCCACCTCTGGAAACCAACACATGATAACCCTAAGTTACAAGAGACATCCGAATCCCGAGCCGGTCGCGTTTTGACCCTCTTCTTTTAGACTTTAACACTGTTTTATCACTGTCTAAACGGTTCAAAACGTATTTGCTGACCTTGATGGGTGGTCAAAGATCGACCACGTGTCCATTGACCTTTGAGTCTTGGGTCACCTGGACCATGAGACCTTGCACATCCGTCTCCCTCGTCATCGAAGAGTGAAAGACGTGTCAAGCTCGACCCGAGAAATACCAGGGAGGTGACAGGGTCATTGGAACATATTGGAACCCATTTGCTGATTCATCCGCTAGAAATACACATATACAGTGGTTTCAGAGTAGATGGCACAGACCCCATGATGTCGTCCTTTAGATGGGGGTCCATATGTTTACCACCTCTTCAGGTCTGTGCCATCTACTCTCAATCCACTACAGCGCAGATGGGACCCGCGTAGCTTTGATGCGGCTGACCTGGGGTCCGCGACCACGAGACCAGAAGGAGGGCACCTCCAATCCCAACCTGATGAAACGACCACGAGGTTTCCTCGATTCATGTGGTGAACCCATTCTTTATGATAGAGAAATGGCCAAAACATGCCAAAACTACTTAAACTCAAGAGATTTCCCTTCAACAAATACATCACCAGTGCCTCGCTCTGGACGTCCAGGAGGTTCCATTAAGGAAGTGCTCGGGACCCACCTCGAGGCGCGCGCCTGGCCGCGTGGCTGGCAGATGATGGGTGACATGGTACTGGACCCTCCCTGAAACTATCATGGAAGTGGAAGCTCCCGGTTTTGTAGAGGATTTCATTTTTTCCCAAAGAGCCATGCCATCCACTTCCATGTTAGATCCACAAAGTGGTAGATTCAGATCCGCTGCCACAGAAACGTCATTCGTGGAGCACATTGAGAATGCTCAAGCACAGATCTCAACCACGAAGGACCTGCCGAGCTGCCCTTGGTTTCACGCAGGTTCTGCCAGGTCAACAGCTGGGAGAACAACTTCTAGACAAGGCCATTGGGAACGGCTGTGATGTGCCTCGGCGGAACGCTGTTTCATGGGCTTGGCAGAACACTGAAACAGCATGAAACAGCTGTTTCATGGACTTGTCCCTGTGGAGTCGGACTTCCTGGTCATGATTGACATCTTGGTGCGTTTCTTTACCCATGCCTGGTCATGTGTTCCTGGCCACCTGAAGCAGATGTTGGATGATTTTGGTGTAAAGATGCATCAAGAACAAGCGGAGTTTTGGGGAAAGGACTTTGTAAGACGACTGGATCTCCTTCACTAGATCTTGCAGACAGGGCTACCTTCGGTCGCCGCAACCCGCGCTATCTTCTTCCGATGCTGCAGATTTCATGTGACCTGGTCAAGGTCAAAGGTGGGACCTGGTCGTGGGACCCAGCAGGATGGCAACTGATGTTGTTGTGAGACCTGGTTTGGCTCGAACATGTTGTGATTGGCTGGTTTGATGCGGGCGTTTGGGTGTCAGATGGACTATGACGCCTGCAAGTGCCAGGTCAGACGTTTTCCATAGATTCGGGATTCTAGACACTTTGGAGGGTTCGTTTGCGTTTGCAAACGAAGTTGGCCGGGTTGGCACTTCACAAAGGCTCTTCTCTCGCCTCAGGTGCTGGTCGCTGGCACCAAAGCAATGCCGGGTATTGGCAGTTTCATTGAGAACATGATGAAGGGCAGAACCGTCTTTTGGCTGAAGAGTGGGATCTGACATAACATAACTAAAGGATACTAAAGGGTTATACCATACCAACTAGAGTGGCATATGTAGGGTGACTACATGCCCCCCCCTACATGCCCCGCCAACGGGTCCTACCAAGACAAGGTGTGCGACGTTGTGCTGATGTTGAGACAACATGAGACAACCAAGATGTCCAGTTTCAGATTGACCTTGTTGGATGCACATGTTGATCTACTGGAGGTGTCTTTCGACCATCGGTTTCCATGTTTCTTGAATCAAGTGCGCTTGATCAAGTTCGAATCCTTCGAGTGTATCGAGAGCTTTTGCATCAAGGCAGTTGGGAGGAGTGTGAGATCGAATGGAGCTCTCAGCTGTACATGACGGGACCAAGAACCTTCTTGAATTGGTTTGCCCCGGCTTTTTCAGTCTTACTATAGACTCTAGACCTTGGGAACCCCTGGAAGTCAGACTCGTACTGGTTTGGCCAAAGCCTACCACATGGATCCACATGGTAACTAGGGTTCGAGAAGAGTTCTATGTTTTCTTTCCCATTTATGCTACTGTACTTCATTGGGTGTTCAGCAGGGGCACAAGAAGCGGTTTCATCAGTTTTCATCTGCGTTTCGATCTTCGTGAATCGAGATCCATGTGGATCGATGTGATCGAGATCAGCGCACGACTCCTGACGTGATCCCTTGCCCTGGAGAACCACTGCCCATCCCATGCACCAAACCAGGGATCCCTCTTTCATGTGTTTCCTTTCGTGTTTCGCCTCAGGTCATGGGGGTGCTGACGCTGGGACATGGGACATGAGGAACGGCGGTTCGGGAGATTCGTTTGGTCTGGAGGGATTGGGATTGGTGACGTCTTTGGGTGGTCCAAACTGTTGTTGCTTCTCAGGGGGTCTTGCACCATGAAACAGGCATGTCTTCATTTTGCTGAACATTTGTTCTATTACCTTTCTCTGCAGCCAAGAATTTTTGTTAATGACATGGGCGGCGGCTGGTGGGACAGGTAGTCATTTGCTGACAGCCTACTGGATGAGGTTCGGGAAAACACCGTCCCGTCCGGGCTGCATTCCGGAAACTCACATCCTCAGTCCTGACATCATTTGTGGAGCTGGGAAGTTCACCCAAGATGTGAGGTTCCACCAGCTACAAAGAGAGAGAGAGAGAGAAGCGAAAGATGATTTAATTGATGGAAATGTCTTCCCAGACCTCATCAGGCTTGCATGAGGGGCAGCAGCTTCAAGATGAGTCCAACCTAGCAGATCAATGACATACCTGGAAGTGGACGTATTGATTCTTTTTGTCGTGCGTGTTGAAGTCTTGCCATGCTTCCTGGCATGTGAGGCCGGCCTTCAACCGCATGTCTCTAAGATACCAGCACTTCAACCGCCGCTCCCACCCCCGAAGACAATGACTTCCTGCGCCCGAGGAAGTCATCGCTCACGGTCCACCTGCTGAACAATGCGGTGGAGATACCTGTCTTGTACATAAACTGAGCGTGCCGGGCAGAGCCGTGTCCAGTGGCCCAGTGGCCCCCTCAGCGGGGAGCCGGTATGGGTGTTCCAGCTCAGTCGCCATAGACCTTCGTTTACAGACCTTCCGACCTTCATCGACCTTCCATTTGTTTTGGATGATATATGGGTTTAGATTTATGATGATTTACGAACTGGATGCGCAATATTGTTCTTCCATGTTTCAGAGTTTTGTGAGTTGTTGTCTTTCACTTGTGCATTTGTTTCAGGAGGCGGTGGTGTGTGTGTGTGTGTGTGAACCCCTTGGAGTCACAGGGATTCCTTTGAATTTGTTTTTGGTGTGTTTCTTTTAGCAGGGGGCAGTAACCCACTCATGAGTCTACTGCCACCGAAGCTGCTCATGAGTTGAAGGATATCGGAGCTTATCACTCCGACGTACCTGCGATGTTGGTGGTGTTCTCAAGCTGTTACTCCGATTTCCAGGGCTAATGCATTCTGCAGATGTGAGCGGCCGCCGTCATTTCGTCCTTTCGTCGCCTCGTTACCTCGTGGATTGGGCCTTTGGCCTCCTAATGACTACTGTATAGAGAATACTAGAGATGATCAGACACCGTACTTGCTTTCTCAGGAATGTGGGTGCCTGGGTTGGAGTGTGGCAACCCGTACTCGTGTCAGTACACTTTATCTTGAGTGTGTTTGGCTTCATGCCAGCCCAGGGTGAACCCGAGGAGTGTCCCCTGTGGCCCCGTCGAACGGGAGCTTGTCCATGTTCCCCGGCTTGGGAACGTAGGTGTCCGGAGCGGACAGTAGGAGGCTTATGCCAAAGTTACTTAACAAGACTTGACGAATTGTTGAATTTGAGTAGGCAGCTTTCGAGCACGCCATTAGGTGACCACGAGTAGGCCGCCCTCGGGCACGCCATAACGTGGTCGCAGCGACCAAAGCTTCTCAAGGTCCACTGGGACCTGCTGGAGCCTTAGAGTGTACACACAGCGCATACACCTCAAGCCAAGCAGGTCTACCTATAGGTCTCTTTGATGAGGTCTGGCTTCGTCAGTTTCGGGCCCCTCCAATTGGTTCCCTTTTCACCCTTTCCCCTTCACACACACACACACAC